GGAAGGAACCACACAGTATTTGTCTAAATGGAGGAAAACGGTGTCTAATGTGTGCGTGTGTAAGACGTCTTTCGACCTGGGCAACTTCTAAACTATTCATGCGTTCCCCCCCCCCCTCCCAGCGAGGGGATCCTGCCCAGGACCCCAGTTGGATGACGGATTTCTGGACACCGCTGATTCTAAGGGATTAGACATAGGTTTATAAAAGCTCGCCCCCAGTATTCAGAACTTCATAATTTGACGCTTGCCACTTGAGATGTGGGGCCCTGGGACGTGGGGGAGCCTTGCCTTGCCTCCCTCCATCTCGGCCAGCCTTCTGACAGCAGTCTGTGGTTTTTCTCCTCAGCTTCCGGCCTGTCTTCCTCCCCGTCCACGCCCACCCAAGTGACCAAGCAGCACACATTTCCTCTCGAATCCTATAAGCATGAGCCTGAGCGACTGGAAAATCGGATCTATGCCTCGTGTTCCCCTCCGGACACAGGCCAGAGATTCTGCCCATCCTCCTTCCAGAGTTCAGCCAGGCCTCCGTCTGCATCGCCGACACACTATGCTCTCTACAAAACCGTAAGTCTGGGCCTTGGGCGGGCCGCCAGGCGTCGGGAAAGAGGGCAGAGTCTGATTGTATTCAGCCGAAGCTAAGGCTGTGCGCTCCTGAGGACATGTTTGGTATAGTTGATCATAAGTCACAGGCTGAGGGGAAAAAAGACGGCGAGGGCCCGGTAAGCAAATGGAATCCCATGAAAAGTGGTAACGGGTGGAACATGACCAGGAAAAGTTTTCTGTTCCCTCAGCTGCTTTTCAAAACAATCAGCCATTAAAAGCTTTGTTTGAATTCATCTTGAGTGAGATACTAAAGTAACAAGTTGTAGGCAAAGCAAGAAGTGTTTAAAAAATGGAAGCGTGATTCTAGTGTTTTAAGATTTAATGTTTGACATCACTTGCGTTGGGAAGCGTTCTTGAAATGGTGAGCCTGTCACAGCAGCGCTGGTGGTGAAGCAGGTGTCTGCATCCCTCCGAGAANCCTCTCTCCAGACGCAGCTCGTGCCAGCACAGCCCGGCCCTGTGAAGTCACCAGCTCCTGGCTCCCTGGTGTCTTGCGTGGCTGCCAGGAGCTGGTTCTGTTCCCTCACTGAGCCTATTCACTGGTCCGGCTGCTGCCCGGGGAGAATCACGGGCATTGTCTGCTCAGAGGCCGACAGCAGTCCTGAACAAAGTCCTCAAGAAGCAAACGAGGGAGGGAGGGCTGCTCAGAGGAACAAAGCAACAAACCTGCCTGTCTTTTGGGGTGACTGCCGCCCTAGCCCGGTCCTGTCTGGGCCCAGCAGAAAGTTGCCTCGTTGCGGGCAGCTCTGTTTCATGTTCCAAAGTTGAGGCCCAGCGCTTTCCCAGTGCCTCTGTGAGCTCTCCCACCCCGCCAGCCCCGGGGTTCCCTCCCCTTCTCTGAGTGCCTAGTACGTATCGCGTGGTATTGTGGGTTTGCGTTTGTTTTTGTCCCATTTCCCCTCACCAGACTGAAAGGTGGGGCTTGTCTGATCACGGTAACATCTACCCCCCTCAGCGCCTGTGCCTGGCCCCGCAGCTGGTGATCAGACACAGTTTCCCTGAAAGATGGAACCTACAATTAAGAAATAAATCGGTCTATTTAAAAAAAATCATGGGGGATTGGGTCTGCATTGCCTTGTTTTCCTCTTTATTTGTGAATTGTGACACCAATATTTAAAAAAAATAAAAGTTTAGAAATATCATTCTTACCTGTCCCACTTTCCTTTCCCGAGACAGTCCCCTTTCCCCCACTGGTAAAATGGCATCTTAGAAGTGGGTAAAAGTCACTTCTCTGTTGGCTGTCTTTATCTTTCTGGCTGACACGAGAAAGAAACACCTTTGAAGGAAGCCCATCCTTGCCCACCCAAAACCAGCCCATCATAGGAAGCCCACAAACCCCCAAGCCCACCTTCTCTTCCCGGGACCCCTCTCCCTTCCAGACACCCCCCCGTTTCCCTTCAGGCACCTAGTGCTTTCCAGGCTGGCTTGTGAAGCCCCACTTTCTGGAAGAGCGATTCACACCCCGAAGTGTGGTTTGCAGTCTCCGGGTCCCTTCTCGCTTGGCAATAGCCCGGGTTAATCACAGCAGGAGTTTAGGGTTTGGAGCCCAGACACTGCAACCGCTGCCATGTACTCACAGAAGGAGCTGGGATAAGTAACCTCTCCAGTCACAATGTCTCACCTGTAAAGTGGGGTGATAAACCGTGCTCCCCCCGCTTGCTGGGTGGCTTTGAGAACCAAATGGACAAGCGTGTCTAAAGCACTTTGCAAACAGCAAGGCATTCTGTGAAAAAAAGTTGTTGCTGCAGGACTCTACCCCTCTTAAAGCTATTCCGGGTATCAGTGAAAACAAGGGGCATATTTTTGGTTCTGAGAACGTCCTTCCCCTAAACTACACATACATTCGTAATCCACGCATCATATTACCTGTCCCCTCCCACAACGTGCCTTTACCCCTTTCTTGGTCCCCAAGACTGTTTTTCCCCCACAAGAATCACCAGCCCTCCGGGCAGGGAGAGAGAGGAAGCGGGAAGGCAGGTGGAAAGATGGAAGCGTCTTTTGAACGTGGAAAGATTTCGGTGAGAGGAGCAGCCTTGAGGCGGGTGGCGAAATCATTTCCACTCCCCTAGAAACGAGCTGTTCCCACCCCCAGGTAGAGCCCACTCCATCTTCTCCGCATCCCAGGCAGCTCAGCACAGTCCTCCGAGGGCCTCATGGGCTCTGGCCCTCGGCGGGGTTGGGTTAGGATCGTGGCAGCCCCGGGAGAAGCAGCCGCTGCAGCCTGTGTGTTCAAGAAGCCTCCTAGGTGGCGAGCTGCTTCGCCACGGCCTCCTTCATTGTTTGCATTTGAGAAATTCACATTGTGTGAATCGGCGAGGGGTTCCACCAGGGATGGCTGTCCCTTACACAACAGCAGTGGGCTTCATCCAGCCTCTCACAGAGAGAGTGTGACATAGAAATGGGGGGCGGGGGGAGGGGGCACATGCTCTGTAGATGACAGGGAGCCCAGGGAGACCAGGCCCTGCCCTCCAAGCACTTCTCTAGTATAGAGGGATGGGAGGGGCCGGACCTCCGGGAGGCAGGAGGCACTTACATATGGTGTTAGCCAGCCTCCTGGCTGAAAAGCAGAACAGTGGTGGGGAAAAAAGCAATGTTCTGAATAGATGCTATAGTCACATGATATGAAAGGTGGAAAGGATTGTAGAAGGGGTCTGTGATGAGAGTCTTCCCGGCCAGTTAGTTGCTCCCATCATCAGACACAGCCAGTGTCCCCAGATCCTTCCAGACACCCTCTAGGCGTGTGCAGACAGACTATCTGTGTGTATATATATTCTTTCCCCCTTTTTTGGAGACTATAAATTGCATCTTTCTACACAGATGGCTCTGCAGTTTGCTTTTTTCACTTACCGTGCCATCTCGGAGATGAAAAGGATTGCTGGGGCTTGCCGCGTTCCGGTAGGGGATCGTGGCTAGACGTCTGTGTGGATGTGCCATGATTTATTTAACCTCTCCCTGTTAACGAGCATCTGTGCCTCCAGCGTCTGCCTTTCAGAGCCCCCTGGTAATAATGAATGACCCCCATACACTGGCCATTTAGCAATTACACAAATGCGTCTGCAGAATGAGTTCCCAGAAGCGGAATTGTTTGTGAGGAACATGTACATTTGTAGCTTCGACAGTTATTGCCAGGATGCCTCTGCAGAGGTCCTGGCTTCCTCCGGGCCTCTGAAAAGTCCTGCGTGGGCGTGGTTTGAGCCAGAAAGTCTGGGCTGGGGCTGGGAGTCAAGTCACAGGCAAGGGGAGGGGAGGGGCTGCTTTAGATGACACCCTGTGTAAGGACACATGGGTGCTTTTCACAGCTGACTGAGGGGTGCTGATGTCAGTGGGGCCAGGCCTTCCCTTCACATGAAGAGCCGGGGCCCCCCGAGGGGCTCTGCCGGTGGGGCTCTCCCAGGTTGTTAGGATGTGGTTAGTGGCACAAGCTTTTCAGCCTAAACTGCCCCCACCCATCTGCTCTGTTCTGCCCCTCTGTCGGGGCTCCAGCACGCGCCCCCGAAAGCAGGGCAGGCCCCCAAGAAAGCACATAGGACGGGCCTCTGCGTCCAGTGGCCAGGGAGACAGTTGGGAGCACAGACCCTAAAATTTCCCGCTCGACTGTGACGCTGGGAATGAGCCCGTTCCAGGCTGCATGTGAGGAGCCAGGCTGGTGTGACTGCTGAGGACCCTCTCACTAAAAGAACCAGTGGAGAGCATGCCACCAGCCTGGGGGCCTGAGCCAGTGAGGCGCCCGGCTCCACAGACAGAACAGCACAGGCGCTGCTTCTGGTCTCCAGCAAAGCCCTCTGAAAGGCTGGCACGGGCCTCAGCCTTGGCCGGCGTCCTCATTCCTTGCCCTTCTGTGGGCATCTCTGGGGAACATTGATGCCACAACCTGGGAGCCCGGCCTGGAGAAGCGCTGGGACCTGGGCCAGGTGGCCCATTTGTCGTCCTGCCTGCCAGACGGCCCCGTCTACCCCTGGAGAGCTGCTACGCCACCAGCTTTCCTCCTGTTCGGTCCTCACCCTTGCTTCTTCACTCCTGTCACCCCAGTCCCACCTCAAGGCGGGTTTTGCTTCTCATGACCTTCGAGGGAACACTGTTTTCAGAAGGGTTTGGGGCCTGAGTGTAGAACTTTCTATGTCCCGCTTTCAGCTAGAGCTGCTCCTGGAGTCCAGCCTGGGGCTTGGGAGCGGGGACTCCCGCTTGGCCTGGATGGCTTCATGGGATAAGGGATTCCCTGGGACATGACGCTCCTTTGATTGGTTACTTCCAAAACTCCTGCCCAGGAAAGACATACCCCCACACTCCCTGGGCATAGGGAGGGATTCAAACTAAGCTTGAGCCTACCCCTTCCCTGCGCCCTCCTCTCCTCACCAAACTCAGGGACAATATTCATGTTGCAGGGTTTTGACAGTAATAGGTTGTCTCATCTGGTCCTTAACGTGACGTCTGCGACATTGACCTCTGTCTCCGTTGAATACTAGGAACTTTTTGACGTCTTATCTCAAGTAATACGGTGTCTGCTCTGCATGCTTTCAGCACCATGCTATGTAGGGGAGGCAAGGGAAGGAACCACACAGTATTTGTCTAAATGGAGGAAAACGGTGTCTAATGTGTGCGTGTGTAAGACGTCTTTCGACCTGGGCAACTTCTAAACTATTCATNGCAGCCCAGCTCCAGGTCGAGCTGTTGTTCACCATCTTAGCTGTAGAGGGCGCAGCGTCACTGGCCCTCATGTGGGATCGGAACCGGGGCCATGCTGCTCAGAGCTGGTGTCCCAAGCCAGCACTTAACCAACATGCCACTCGGCCAGCCCCCTGGCTGTGCGCTTTTGTTTTACACACCTTACCTGTGCCACCATCCCTCTATGACTCTTATCACCATTCCGCCAAAGTTAGGGACAGCACAAGCCCCCTCATGTCTGACGAGTAGTTGTTTGAAAATCTGCATATAAGCAAACCCCTCATCCAGTGTGAACTGAAAATTTGCTCTTCTCACTCTATGCCTTAGAATATAATGGTCAGCAAAGATGTTTGGAGATCAGAAACAAAATAGTTTTCCTTTTTTGTTGTTATTTTCAACCATCTGCACGAAATAGGCTGGTGCTGCCCCAAGGATGGTGGGGAGGAGGGCGTGTGCATGGGCACAGCACACAGCCATCTGGTCTACCTGGTTTATATTACCACAGCAAGGCACTGACCCGCTCAGGGGCCAGAGCTCATGGTGGTAAAGCGGGCCCAGAGCGTGGGGCTCCTGCTCTGCACCCCACCGTTGCCCTTCCTGTGGCAGCCCCTGCTCCCTTTCCTCCAGCGGCTCCGCTGTCCTCCTTTCGCCTACCCCCTCTCTCCAGACGCAGCTCGTGCCAGCACAGCCCGGCCCTGTGAAGTCACCAGCTCCTGGCTCCCTGGTGTCTTGCGTGGCTGCCAGGAGCTGGTTCTGTTCCCTCACTGAGCCTATTCACTGGTCCGGCTGCTGCCCGGGGAGAATCACGGGCATTGTCTGCTCAGAGGCCGACAGCAGTCCTGAACAAAGTCCTCAAGAAGCAAACAAGGGAGGGAGGGCTGCTCAGAGGAACAAAGCAACAAACCTGCCTGTCTTTTGGGGTGACTGCCGCCCTAGCCCGGTCCTGTCTGGGCCCAGCGGACAGTTGCCTCCTTGCGGGCAGCTCTGTTTCATGTTCCAAAATTGAGGCCCAGCGCTTTCCCAGTGCCTCTGTGAGCTCTCCCACCCCGCCAGCCTCGGGGTTCCCTCCCCTTCTCTGAGTGCCTCCTGCCTGGCGTTACACGCACTCCACTCTCAGTGCGTATCGCGTGGTATTGTGGGTTTGCGTTTGTTTTTGTCCCATTTCCCCTCACCAGACTGAAAGGTGGGGCTTGTCTGATCACCATAACATCTACCCCCCTCAGCGCCTGTGCCTGGCCCCGCAGCTGGTGATCAGACACATAGTTTCCCTGAAAGATGGAACCTACAATTAAGAAATAAATCGGTCAGGGCCGGCCGAGTGGCTCAGTTGGTTAAGAGCTCGCTCAAGAGTTTGAGCTCTGAGCAACAGCGGTTCGAGTCCAGCCCGAGCTGAGCAG